GCAGAGAGAATTCCCATTTGTAAATACCTGGGAATGGGTAACTGCAAACAAAAGGGATACAACAGCCAAGTCCAAATTTTAGTGTTTCATTTCCATAATCTTTCGTAATGCTCCAACTGAAACCATTTACTTTGAAAGTCTCACGTATGTGTGCAAACACTCGTTAAATTTAAGAGTTTCCCATTCTTTTGTTTGCATTGCCAGTTGTAATACTTGGAAGCCTAGGTTGTAGTCACATGTGATATGGGAATGGAGGCTTAGTCTCCAGCAAAAGTAATAAGCACTGCAGACTTCAGCTGGAGAGTTGAATATTGAATTAGTATTCCATTGTCATGTCACATGTTAATGGGAACATTGCATGATTATGGTCACCTTGGACAGAAGCACAGAAATGTGGGCATTTCTACTGGCAGGTTCATGCCTGATCCAGTGAAGGATGGCGTCAAAGACAACATCCTCCTGACTAACATTGAGCTCGTCCTTCTCAATGATGTCACAGAGCTGAGGAAGCGTGAGCTCCAGAAACTCCTGGGAGACGGTGGCGACCTCCTTGAAGTTGTGCAGGATAAAGCTGAAAGAGGACTGGCGCAACTCGGGGCACCAGTTGATGCCGGAAAAATTGAAAATGCCAGTGCAGTTCTCTAGACAGAGGTGGCTCTCCAGGAACTTGCTGCAGCATTGCATCATGCCCACGATGTCAAACTGGTCAGCAGCCACCAACAGGCTTTCCACATTCTCGACTGTGACGGGCACAGAGTGTGTGTACGCGTAGTCAATGACTAGCTTCATTATCTCTGAGGGAACATCTGGGATGCTGAACTCATGCCTTCCAGTGTCACTCCAGCCACTTGCGAAGAGAGCCCTGATTAAGAATACAGAAGATATTGTTGTAAATTTACTACACGTTTCTCTGGACCAACTGAAATTGCAGTACAGACCCCCAGGCTGAAAACACCTGGGTTACGTCATTTTGGTCCTTAGGATCCAAAGTTAATTTGGGTTTTCGCCAGCGACAGAGATTATCCAAATCAAGGCTCAAAACTAATACAGTGGTACCCATACCTGTCAAGTTTTGGATTTGAAAATAAGGGAAATTTTCTGGCACCCACCGCAAGCCACCCCACCACCCCAACCAAGCTCCAGTATCCCTTACATTTTAAGACAGGTGTACAAGAAATCTAAAATAACCACTTGTCATTTACATTTTATTTTCATTACACATTTTCTTTTAATTTCTCATGTTCACTCATGTGGCTCTCTGGCATTCACTAATGACTTATTATACATATTTGTTGCAGACTTTGTATCCTTGTTGAAGTCGTCACAGAAGGTGAAAGTAACGTTGTTTTTTGCACACAGCATTGCCATTTTAACCTCCGCTTTTATGACCTGGTTAATGTTGTAAATGACCTGCAGACTACTGCAGGTGGCAGTCCTCGCGAGGCTACTGACAGTTCAGTTTGGAGAGGCAGAGGAATTTTTTTTTAATTATAATACGGGAGATTTACGGGAAAATACTAATACGGGAGGACGACGGGAAAGAGGGGTAAAATACGTTAGTTTCCCGGGAAAAAACGGGAGACTTTACAGCTATGGGTACCTCAGAACTCGAATTTAATCCATCCAGAACTCGGGATCGAATCCTAAAAAGTTCGAGTTGTAATTGACTTTTCCCCATAATAAATAATGGAAAATCAATTAATTGGTTCCTGGCCCAAAAAATTACATCTAATTATGTTTTTTTTTTTTAGCATTTAAACACAAAATGAACCGGATAAAACAAGAAGACCATAAACTGTACTAAACACATCTAAGCACATTTATCAAAACAGTAATTTGTAAAGTAAGAAAATAAATGTATCAAAACAATGTGTAAAGTAAAAAAACAACAACAATGTGTCCTGCCCGATCGACCGATCCTTCCGTGTGCCACGCCCCCTCGTTAACCCCGCGTGGAATCCCCATGTGATCAGCTGTTTCTGGTTGTTGTCATTAGTCCTCTGTATTTCGTCCGCGTTTCAGTTTGTTTCCCTAGTCAGCTCATTGTATTGTCCATCTGCGTTTTGCCTGCCTTACCTGTAATTAAACCCCGTATTCCCCGATACACTGACATCTGCGTCTTTGTCTCTGTTCCGTCCAGCTTGGCACAACAATGTTATTATAATTAAAATGTATTAATGGTTTATTATTAATATTAAAATAATAAATAAGAAATCTTTATTTTTAAATTTATTTTATTATATAATAATAATTACTGTTACTGTCTGTCATTATCTAAATGTATTTTTACTGTCTAAATATATGTATTCAGCTAGTGTAAACATGCAGGATGCTATCACAGCTAATGCCAGGCTGAGACTGAAGCATTACCCTTTGTTTCCGCTGAGAGACATGCTGCGTGACTAACTTCCCCGCGTGTACAAGATATCTTAGGTCGGCGTTTAGGTTGACTTCTGAGATTCAGATCGAGTTCTGGTTCGACTTTTAAGAAATTCGAGTTCTAATGAGTTAGAGAACTGAGGTACCATTGTATCGTTATCAGCTGAATAAATGTAAGCAGAAAGTTAAGATGGTACACTTAACTGTAACTGCAGCTTACAAATATTTCTTATTAACCATGTACTAAAATAGTAAAACAGAACTATGCCTTTAAGAAAATTTCTATTATCATAGAAAAAAATCTTTCTGTTTTGGCATCGTTAGAATGTATGGGTCGTAGCAGCTCACCGGAAATAGGGGCTGCAGCCGCACAGGATAATTTTGTGGGCGGTGAATTTTACACCGTTGACTTCAATGACCACATCACAAAGCGGTCCGCCCAGCCGCAGCTCATTAAAAATATTCCATGCGTTATTACGCTCCATGTTGTATCTGAATTTTTCCCGAAGTAGATGGTTCCTCCGTTAAACTTGCTTATATTTTCAGAAGCGGCCAATAGTTTACGTGTACGCCAGTGTTGTCAAGGAAAGTTCTAGAACGTAAACGCTCGCTTAGTACGCAGAAATGGGTACAATAATGGTGCATTCGACTATTTCTCTCCAAGTCGGAACTCGGATGAAAACGTCACCAAACACCACGAAAAACGTCACTTCCCATCGGAAACACGCCTCTGAAGTCGGACAAGATTTGTTGTCCGAGTTGCCCCTGTGACGTAATGGCGACTTGGTTCGTTTGCCGTTCGAAAAAAGAATATCGCTATGAATGTACTAAAATATTTTATAACGCTTTTAATGTGGTTTGACTAGTTCGTGTTTCTTGTTTGTCTCTCGGAAAAATCTCCATTTGGAAAACTCCAAATCTGCTAAAATATAAAGCAACAACACAAAGCAACGTGTTCATGGAGGCAGCCATGTTTGTTCCGAGATGTGGTATTGTGGTAGCTCGAATGGGAGATTGTCGGATTTTATATATTTTATATATTTTTTTCTTTGTGTTGTTTTTTGTTCTCTTACCTTCACCTTATGTCCTTGATCTGTAGTGTGTACTGTTGTTTGTATTGTAATTTTTAACTCTTGGGGGAAAAAAAATCAAAGAGCTTCTCTGACGTTATCATCTTCACTCTTGGGTTATAGTGCCATCTGGTGGTACAACTTTAAAGCAGCATGTTTTGAATTTTGAAGGAAATTTTGACATTGGTCCAACTTGGTCTTTAAGTGCAATCTATGTAGGTCTATGTATTGAATTTATTGTATACACAGGTTATTTTAGCTGTGTTAAACTATTTAGACATTGTTTTAACAGCTCACCAAAGGTACAGTTTTGTTCAATGAAAAAATTTTCAGTATTTAAGGTAAAGTCTAACATCAGAATTTAGTGATCAGTGTGCTACACCACAGTACACAGTGCACAACAACAAAATGCATCCTCTGCATTTAACCCATGAATTAGGGGGCAGCTAATTCAGCCCCTGGGAAGCAATGCTTGGGGCCAGTACCTTGCTGGGCAGGGATTTGAACCAGCAATCTTTCAATTACAAGTGCGCTTCCCTAACCATTAAGCCACCACCACCACCCTAAAGAATTACCACACGTGAAAACATGTGCTCCTGGCCACTTGTTAAGCTTTGTCATTGCACTGCAGTACAGAGAGGTTAAGGTGCATTTTCCTGATTGGTGCAAATAAATAGTGGAATTAAAGGGCTAAAAAATAATTCTGAAATATAAGTGTAGTTTATGCATGAATTTAAATATAAAATTAACTTGTGTACAGGTGGGATGCTTTCATTGTCATTATTGCATCATCAGTGTCAAACATGCAGAAAATGTGTAATGTGTAATGCTAGCACTGTACATCTTTGGTTTCTCCTACTTGTGTGTGTTCATACCAATTTCATAAGACTCATTCAGTGGTAGCTGAGTCACTAAGGGTTTCAGCCAATCTTTAGACAAGGGGTGGCCAGTCTTATCCACAAAGGGCCGGTGTGTATGCAGGTTTTTGGGATAACCTGTAGGTCAGCTGTTCAAACCCAGGTGTGACAACTCTTCAGCCAATCAGTCCTCTAATTAGTAATCTAATTAGGCAGTTGCAGCGAAAACCCGCGTACACACCGGCCCGTTGTGGATAAGATTGGCCACCCCTGCTTTAGACCATGGTGGAGAATCTCCCCCAGGGATCAATAAAATATCATATCTGAACTTATTTGTATTTTGTTTTATTCTTACAAATAGTCTAAGTGACTCCAAATTTGGAGCAAATTATTTACTGATATTTCTATTTCTTTCAATGCTTTTGGATGGTTTTAGGTTAGATTTTTTTTTTTTGTGAAATTTACCTTTTCTATGGTGTATGCAGAAGAACTTCAAATCCAAATGCATTTAAACTAATAGGAAGACCAGAGACCAGAAGTGAAAACAGCTCAGAACAAAGGATTTTCTAAACACACAACTCATCTACTCTGAAAGTGCTTCTGGGGGAAAGGTTGGGTCGTGCCCAGAACTAGCTAGGTGTCCGTAATAAAGTGGCCGCTGAGTGCATGATATCAATTTGATGAAGAGACCATATGAAGGAGCGCACCTGGCATTCTGCTACACTTTATTAAATGCAAAAGATGTACAACAGAAAGAGTAATAAAATGGGATAAAATAGAAAAAAATCAGAGGTGCAATCCTCAGTTTCACTGGCCTGCAGTGAAATGCGTACCTTTGGGTTTGTGCTGCAGGAATGTTCAAGGTCAAAGTGAAAATCTCAACAAAAAAAAAATAATACATTGCACGTTTAAAACATGACAAAAGCTTGCAGTTCATGGAAGTGAATAGCGTGCAAATTGTAAATTACAAACAGAAATTTCTGATTTCAGCATTCTGTTCCTTAATTTATCTTAAATGTGATAGCTAGACAAAAAATACTGATCAGGTAAGACAGTCCAGTATATCCTTTGTATATTTAACACAACAGCCTGTCTAATAGAACAATATTAAAAGCAGAACAATAACAATCACAAGACTTCAGAGGGCTGCATATTATATAGACCAAGTATTCTTAACTTAGTCAATAAGATATTTTTATTCTTAAGACAAGAGACCAGACATTTTCCTCTGCCTTAACCTTTAAGCTTAAAAACCTTGTATTATTCTATATGGTTTTGAAATATTGAACCACGGACAAGTTCAGCATAAATAAATAGTTCTATCACTCATCCACTTTCCCTGTTGCTGTGTTTTGGCTGCAGCTGCAAACAGCTGAATTTGCAATTAAAGCACAGGCAAGTGCGACACCCTTTCAGGCCGAGACAACGGACCCAGGCGGCGGGCACACAGATCCTCCTGGAAAGAGCTGGAAGGAGGGAGCGCTCAGTCAAGAGCAAATTACAGAAGACAAGAGTGCAGCTCAAAGCACCCAGACTGGCACACTTCACGGAGGTCAGGGCCGCTTTTTACTGGGACACCAATTGGTGTCTGGGTAGAGGAGACAATGGACTGTTTTAAACCTGGAGAGGGAAGAGAGGAACACATTGAGGGCAAGTTCCTGACACAGGAACAAATGCCAGTTTGACCACTGAAAGCAGGGCCGTGGAAAAGGCCAGATCTGTAGATGCACTTGTTGCCTGGGGGGGCCGTGACGGCAGCTCACCGTGACGGGTCCTCTGCCAGGGAGAAGCCCCCACCGATGCTGACCACATTCCTCCGGTTCTCGTACCCGCCATAGCTGAGGGTCACCTGCAGACCAAAGCCATTTCCCCATGATTCTAGTGCTGAACAGCCCCTCCCCCTTTTCTCCTACAGCAGTCACATTGATTGCAGACATAATGAACTCCAAATTTCCAAATTCTTCCACACAACACATGCCTTGTGGTTGATTGTTGACATATTTTAGGTCAGTATGTAAGCTGACTGATTGTTTCTGTTATGTGTTTCATCAGAAGTGAATTATGACCTTTTTGCAGAAAATGTTCTGGACTCATTTCTGTGTCAACAAATTCCACAGCAGACCTTGCTATATCCAGCACAAATTCCTTCAGCTTTTGGTTGCAAGTCACAGTCCACCCCAGGGGATGATGGGTAAGCATGCTTATCTCCAGTCGCACTTGCTAAAATGTAATTGCTTCACACAGTCTGTTGAATGCAGTTTCCATTTAATACTAGTTTTCTCAAGGATAAGTCAGTGAATTTATTAAATATCTTTGTTCATAGTGAATTTTCTGGCATGGTGAACATGAAGCATCTGTTTTGGACATTTATGGCTAATGCTCCCAAAAATCTGTTTGTCCTTTCTATTCTACAGGAAGGACAAAGATCCCTAGTGCTGACTTTCTGGGTGTTTTCCAGGCTAAGTGAAAACACTTAACAGTGTGGAGCCTTCTTCCCTTATTGTGCAAGTCTATGATATTTGCCAAAATATAAATAAAAAAATAACGTCTTGTCAGCAGGCCTACCCTTGATACAACAATTTCCCCAAAACTGTATTTTCCCCCCAGCTAACACAAGCGTCATTATTCACTGGGTGAGAGAGGTTACCGATCTATGAGCTCATTTAACACTCAGCCTCAGCTGAATCTCGAATAGCCACTAGCTTTCACACCTCAGCTAAAACAAGCAAAGGAAGTCCAGCTTGAAGCGAGAGCTGGTCTTCCTTTGCTGTATTTTCATACCACTCATCGTCAACAATTAGCTACTCCAATGGTCTACCTTTATTTTTTGTCAAAAACCAATTTGGGTTTCATTATCGATTATATCACTAATCAAGTAATCTACCGATTAACCTGACAATTTGAGTAATCGTTTATAATATATTTTGCAATTGGTGCACACTCAGTCACACATACAGTTAATTTAGGTACTTTCTGGACAGTGGAGGGAAACTGGAGGATTTGCTGAAAAGTCACGCACACATAGGGCGAGCATACAAACTCCACACACACAAAGCGGTGGTGTACAGTGACAGCACTGCACACTGCACACCACACCACCGTGCTGCCCTCATTTTACAGGCTTGCACGAAGTGCTATGTTAATATCCACATGGCATTTCATGCACACGCAATTGTCACATCGCAAGGAACAAGACAGTCTGCTGGGTTCAAACCATCAATTTCCTGCCCTAAAACATTTTTACTCGGTCATAGGAAACGAAACTTGGCAAGCTTTGCAATTTTAATAATGGCTCCTTTTCAACATTATCTAGTACATATTATTTTTTAAAAATCAGTCTAAAGGTTACTACTGCTGCATGAGCTCTGCATGTGTCCTCCGAGCTAATCATAATCATTCTTGTCCTTGTTGTTGGACTTACTCATAGACTGGGTGGTGTTTGTATGGAAATATTTTGTATTCCATAGAGATGATATTGAGAAGTGTTTTGTCAGCGCTGCTGTGTGTCTGCTGTCACGGCAACGCCACCGACTTGTTTGACAGACTCTTTTACCAGATAACTTATATTTTGCTATATAGTTCATTTTCAACTCCCAAATATTGCAGAAACTTCCAGTATCGCAATGTGAACAACTTCTAGTATCGTTCATGCCTAACACACAATATGGCAACAAAAAAATAATTAGCATAAATTATTTTACATATATATTATTTCAAATGAGGTGGCTATGCGACTGGGATAACCTTCACTGTAGCAGGAATTCTTTTGACATGACTGCATTTTCATTCACTTTTAATGTGATGTACTTAAGCACAAACGTCGCTTTTGTTTTTTATTTGAACCCCCATCCGTTATTCACCGTCTTCCTTCTGCCATTTTGCCGAGTAATTGAGAAGGAAAATTTTAAATCGATGCTTGTTAATAATTACTTAATTTAATCGAGTAATTGAAACAACTCTACAACTAATTATTCTACAGAATTATTTAAATCAGTTCCTCTCTGATAGGTGTATGTTTAAAAAGTAGCTTTGACCACAATCAGAAGAGATCAAACTTGATAAATATGGTCCATAACTATCTAAAAACAAGTTTTAGTGTTTAATCCCTGTAAAGGCAACATTTATGCAAAGCAGTGTTTAAGACTAATATCACGCCCTCTACTTTCAGTGTTGCTTGTGCATGTATGAAGTAAAATAGACACATTTAAATACGTAGCTAATTTTACTTTGATCATAAACATGCTTTTATATGAAGAGTCGAAACGAGGCCTAGTGGATGCATCCTAGGGCGTTTCCCTGCGTTTCTTACCTGTCTGAGCACTGAGTTGGCAGGCAGCCTCTGCAGGTTCTCCAGGTGGGAGTGGAAGAGCCACGTGTGAGTCATGGAGACCTCCAGAAGCGCCTCGATGATGTAGCCGATGGTGCAGTCATCGGGGAGACGAATCTTCTCTGCTGTGCTGATGAAGTTTCCCAGGCTGGGACAGAGAGAAGAGGGCATTGGAGTAGTCTTGCATTTTAGAAGGTTTCTTTGTGCTCAAGACTGAAGAACTTAGGATTCAGTAATGGCTTCATGTGCTGCTGTGAATCTGTGAGTGAAAGGGGGCACCCTCACCTAGCCCAAGGACTCATCTTCAGCGCCAACCCCCTACTGATACAGAATCCAGCCCCTCCGGTCGCAAACCAGAATTTTACAGACACCTGCAAGTGCAAACAAGGAAGATGGTGCCGCGAGTCATGTGGCCGCCACAGACAGGAACAGAGGGCAGGGTCGCGTGCCACTCACTGATCCGTCGCTCTTAACCCGCTCGGCCGCCTCGATGGGATGGTCCAGGCTGGGCCGGCCCAGGTAGACGTCCTGCGTGTGGGAATAGGCCTGGAGCAACCGCAGAAGGCTGGGAAGGATCACGTAGTTGTCGTCGTCCACGTGACAGAACCACCTGCGGCAGCGTCACATAATGAGGGAAAGGTTACGCCACGGAGCGAAGACCCAAAGGCTTTTCAAATTCAGAAGGGCCCAGTTATGGTCAGAACCGCACTTAAGATGTAAAACTTCTGCTCAACAACACATCTATAAACAAATTAAACAGTGTATGAAGTCAAGGCATCTGCTAGCCACTCCGTAACAGACAGCCCTTGTGTATGAATGTAAAAATGGATACTCAAGGCTTCTACAAGGGTGTACTGGGGCAAGCAGACTTTTCCAGTCCCCTGTTCTCCAGCACCCCCCACCCCACCAAAGGAAAGGACCACTCAACTTTTTCTGCGATTCGATGAACTTGTCGTACTCCACGGACATCTTGCAGCACAGCGCCTGTCGGGTGTGTGCAGCGGAGCAGTTGGTGTTTATAACGTTGTCCCCTGTGACAGCGGGAAGACAGGGGCTTTAAGAGTGTGTCCATCTTTTGGTTTTAAGATTTTAAGAATTCGGTTGGGGGGGGGGCATTATAGGAAATGGCAAGAAGATACATGTCTGAGATTTTCTGAGCAAAAAAAAAAAACAATCTAATTTCCATGTCTTGAACTGCCGCAGATGCATTTTCAGGATGGATTACCTGCTTTCCTCCTAAGCTCCCCGTCTTCTCCATCTGTGAATATAAACGTCTGAAAGAGAGAAGAACGGAAGGCAGGCCTGTGTGTTAGCTTTTCTACCAATAGCGGGAGCAGTCCACTCAAATAATGCTTATGGACCCATGTGCAACAATGTGCTCTTTGTCCCTGAATGGCAGCATGTGTGTGTCGTGGGCCCAGCCGAGATTGTCATTTCAGAACCACAGCAGAGCCGGGACACCCTACCGTTCCAAAGGGGGTGGTTGCATAAATTTAATTTCTTAAAAATAATGGCAAAATTTGGCTAAATCCATAATTCAAAACAGGCATGCGCTGCTCATATCGCTGGGGAAACAGTTTCCCGTTGTCCTCCCGCACACGCGGTGAACAAATGGCAACCATTCAAGACGGAAGGCAGGCAGCCGCAGGCATTTTGGCAGAGCCGAGCTCCCGGATCAAACACAGGCCCGACGTCGGGGGGTGTAGGACGAACGCTGACTTTTGGTACGGTAACCGAGCACCGAGGAGCACCGAGGAGCACCGAGGAGCACCGAGGACACGACGGCGCGTCTTGGGAGGTTACCAGAGTTTGGAGGCATTTCACTGCAAACTTTACAGACGTTTAGGAAAACGTTCAAAGTCCAAGAGCCAGGCTGTACTCTCATGCAATGAGCTCCACTTCACCTAAAATCCCTCCTGCCTTACGTTCACCTCGCACTGCCACCCTGCCAAATTCCTATAATTTTTCAACACATCTTGACAAACAGCTGGTATTTATTACTGTGTATATTCTGCACGAGGAAATCATTCAGCTCAATGCGAACAATGATCCTTTCATTCCCTCTCAAGCTGTGAGGCCTTTCATATTTTTTTTAAACCGGTCTGGTATCTTTTAACTGCAGGGAGCACCCACCATCACAGTGTAATACCCTTTACATTTTTTTTTACAGATGCAAATTTGAACTGTCTGACTGAGTTCTTTACAAGACTGACTTGTACTGCAAATGCAGGTCCTTCGCGCAGGTTTGGGTGTGGGGTTTAAGAAGCATGAAAGGCCGCACCCATGTGACCCATTCAAGGATCTGAGGCAGGAAACTCCACTTGGAATTCAGTTTTTTTTAATACCTACATAGTATTTTGAGGTGCCTCACTAGAACCAGTTTGGTGACTTAAGCTGGAACAATGTTTGTTTCCGTTATTGGAACAGTTGGTTATTCAGCAAAGGGGAAAAGTTAATACGTGCACAGAAGCTCAATGTTTTATGTACAGCTACTGCTGATGACAAGTTCATGCCACGGTCCAACAACTTCTAGAAGTGCTGGCCAATCAAACCTGAATGGTGACAGGGCACAGGAGGCACAACACTGGGAACATTAAAGGAGCGAAGAGACAGGCGGTGAGCACCGGCCCCCACCGGACAACAGGGGGCCCCAGTTTCCCCTATGCTTGGGATCACTTCACTGACTTGCCAACCACCTCACCTGGCATTTCCACTTTTGTGCGCCAGTTAAAACTCCTGGCAAAAGCAGACTGGGCCGGAAGCTTCCATTAGCCTTTTATAAACACACGTGCACATGCCACCCAAGGGGGTGGAGGGGGGGTCCACACTGCCAGAGACCTGGTGTTCACGTTGCAGACATGAGCCGAGCCGAGTGACAGCCGCGTCGACGGAACACAAGCACGCCACGGGTTCAAACTGCGCGCTTTTGAGTTATTTTAAGTCTATCCTGCAGTTTCAGCGTGCTGAAGGGCCTACCTGTATATTACCTGTCAACATTAAACTGTCAATAAAATCCAAATATTTAAGCAAACATTAAAATACACTGCATAATTAAATTCACACACACGTGGATGATAAAAATGTGGCTGATTAAATTTTTTAAAATTCCTAATGTGCATTATTCTGTAATAGTGCAAAGCATTTTTGAAGAGCTGAGTTGCATAATGAAGCCAAACATTTTTCCAAGCTTCTCTCCATCCTCACACAGGAACTGTGCCAGCACTGATTTAGTGAAGCCCTCGGGTAAGGAAGCTACCAGAACGGCCTCCAAGTTCTCCGCTGTGATGCACTTATAAGCCACGGCAAACCGTGCATTTGATTGAAGCAACCTAGCAAGTGAGCCGTCTTCCCCGAAATGGCTATTGCCGACCACGGGGGGGGGGGGGGGGGGGGGGGGGGGGGGGCACAAAGACCACATTTCAGTCTTGGTTGGCGCAAGTATCCATTACGGTATCGACTTAGCAGGTGTTAAGAGAATTTCACAAATGAGCATTTACAGTGCAGTTACTGCATTGACTTTGTATTCCAAAAATGACTGAATCATGTTCAGCAATGCGCCACTCGGATTGTTTGCTTTACTGGGTAATAAAAGTCGTTTTGTGTTTATGCAAAATACGTTTTTTCCCTTCAGTTGTCACTCACAGGGCTGATGGAGTCATGACTGGTATTGCTGAGGCCGGAACGGCTCTCAGTACAGGCTGGGGGAACACAATGGCATTGCAAATGGCGCTGTTAATGACAATGAGGTCCATTCCCGATTACCCACCTGCTCCTTTGCTTTGGAGACCCAGGTCTGGAAGAGCAGGTCCAGCCGGGATTTGTGGTATTTCTTGGTAGTTTTCACAGCAATAAAAATGTCACCCAGCTGCAGCTGATCCCTGAGATGGGACCGAACTGGACCCGCTCGGCGAGCATCCCCATCCAGAGCCTGAAGACTGTTCTGTCCGTTTCTGGCAAAGGTACCACCAGAGCCCACAGCTGAGCTGCTGGAATCAGCCTCCCCGGAGCGCAGGGTTCTGCTTGGTGGCGTAGCGCCGGTGTCCCCCGCCGCCGAGGCCCTGATGTTCAGGTGGAGTCCCGTGGCGAGGCCCAGCAGCTGGCCGGGTCGCCCCGCATCGCCGGCGGGGGACTGGGAGTGAGGCCGAGGCTTGGGGATCTCCACATGGCGGAGGGGCAGCTGCAGGCCAGGGATCAGGAGCAGGAGGAAGGCGCAGAAGGCCAGGGAGAGCAGGAAGCAGAGCTTGCTGACACCAACGCGGGAGAACAGCATCCTTCCAGGAAACGCCTCAACCACCAGGGCCTGCCTGGCACTCCTCAGTGCCGTCCATCCTCATCAAACCACGCGGGACCCTGTGAAGACGTGCAACACAGCCAGAAATTACTTACTCATTACATCATTCAATCAGCAGGTCAAGCCAAATTCTGTTTGTCAATCCTGAAGAATGACTCCATCTTTAGCAGCATGTGGCTGAGGGCGGCGTTCGGCTCGGTGGGCTAAGCCTTTGTGCCCGCGATCAGAAGGTTGCCAGTTTGAGCCCGGCCTTGGCAGAATACTGTCGTCTGTGAGCCCCTGAGCAGGGACCTTAGTCCCCGGCTCCATGGGCACCGCTGCAGGTGGCTGCCCGTCGCTGCCAAGCTCGCGCTCACCTACATATATATGTGCTTTTTGTGTCATGGAGAGCAAGATGGGGGAGGTGAAAACAGAATTTCCCCAGGGGGGGTCAATAAAGTTTCATAATTTCATGTAATTTTTTTTTCCATTACAGAAATCTATTATTCAGAGACATCATCAAAATACATTATATCTGGCAGAACATAATAGAATAGAATAATACAATACTTTATCCTCATGGGGAAATTCTCCCATCCTGCTCTCCATGAAACACACTGACACACATCCAGGTGAGAGTGTGGGGGTGGCGGCACCCCTGGAGCTGGGGGTTATGGGTCTTACTCAAGGGCCCTGGGACGTGTGACTATTGTGCTGAGGCTCAGACTGGTAACCTTCTGATCACAGGCCCAGAGGCTAAGCCCACTGAGCCACCCACCCCAAAAAGCTATTTTCTATTCAGCAAAACAAGATGCTACAGTTATCTTTGCATTGGATCTCGATGATAATAATACAATAAACTAGATACTAGCTCTCATTTTTACTCTGTGTATTTACTGCATTTCACCATAATTTCTTAATAGGGAACCTATAATATGTAAGCGATTTCCTGTTTTCTATTTTCAGTTTAGCTATGATATACAAACCAGCAATAGATGGTATTTCTGGTAGCCTGAAACTTAAATTATGATTTCAGTTTAGATGTGTCAGTAGTCACCATCTATTCAGATTAATTTCATTCCGGCGTGTACAGTGGACACTGTTTTGAACAGAAAACTTTTGGGTACACGCCACTCTTTAGACAAGCACTGCTGAATCCTCCTGGCGAACAGCCAATCAAGATTAGACTGCGCTTAAATTAACGTGGGATATCACCATTGCCAGCCTACTGCTCCCTAATCAAAAAGACAAACCAGTGTTTAGGCTACAAAAACAACCCGTTGCTATAAAACAATATCAAAACACGTACGAAAAAAATTCTGGACACACGTTTTGACAAAATACTGGAAACTCCCAAGTGGAATTTCCCCTTGACCGGCAACTGCCATCTTAAACAGCTGGGAAGTCGCTGCAAATACGCACTGAATAAATTAAGGAAAAACATCAGTATCGTAATGTTAACGATCTATCTACCCAAGCCTGGAGGAGCGGTAAGCGCAAAATCTCAAAGCGCGTTTCACACATTATCCACAAGATCTCTAAATGAAGCCTTGTTACCAACGCAAGATACTTAAAATCAATATGGCAGTGTTTCACTATCGGATCCTTTTCATTTCCACAAGTCTCCCCATCTGTAGATAAGCCAGGGAGTTTGTCGCACGGCAGATTTGTTATCACCGAGATCCTAACAGTGACACATCACCCACTTTAGAGAGAGGAAGCAGGAGACCCCGTTTTACAGCTGAATAAAATAAATCAGCAGACAACAGATCTACCTTATCACTTACCAAGAGACTGGTGCATGGTCACCTTACATTAAAATCTTCTCCAGTGAGACTAATGTCGCTATGCAGAAAACCTATAAATAGCAGCCGTCAGACGCATCGCAGCCTGTGTGACCGAAGAGAATGAAATCGCAAACGGCGTCAACGATTAAAGTTCACTCAGCGAGCCACCAACTCCATCCTTCTTCTTTCCTTTTGTTCAGTCTTGACTTTTGGTTGTAGATCCACACACACGAATCACCGCGAGCGACTGCTTTCATTCCCCGTGATCATTCTGCTCACTGCGGTATTTCTTTCTGCAATGCAGTTTAAAGTGGGAACCGCGATGGTTTCTAGGGTATTATGTGCGAATGATCGCGATTCTCCTTTCTGCAACTCCACAAACTCTGAAATTTAGACAATCAACCCCGTGCTAGTGGTGGCTGGGGAGAAGCGCGTGCTTTGAAAATGAGTGCCCCCTATCGTTCCCGCAGTGTAAGAGCTTCCCAAGAATCACGTCAAACCGGCTAAACTTCATGGATGATCAAAAAAGATGATTTTAGACGTCTGTTTAAAACGCAATTTGTGTGAACATACTGCTAATTTTTTAAAACCGATTTTTTTTTTTTAATAATTGAATTAGCAAGATAAATCCATGAATGAATAATGCAATATGAGGTGAAAGGAATGCATCATAAAATCTAAATATTGACTGTATTAATAGTGTTGGTTTACATGTAATGATGATAATGAGATTTTATTAATTTATTAATAATTTTATCAGAATGAAAGTTGTTCGTGGTCACTGGGAGGCAATGTTCCACCACCATTCAAGCAGCAATGGCATCATTTGACTTCAATTGATGGCAACAGAATAATTTAATATATAAATATTTACTCTTTTGGCTTTATTTCATTGGGTTTATCCAACTGGCAGCGACTGCACAAGCATCTCGCGCAATGAATTTTATAGCTAAAAAAATTACATCTTACATATCGTCTTAGAATCCAGAACTGCAAAATACTACGTCAACAGAGGATGTGAATTAAAAAATGACTGATATGTAGGATACATATATATTCTCTTATTTTTGTACACAATACACAACAAGCTCCCAAATTAAAACTCAAATTTTATGTACATCATACTTCTATAATAATCCGTGTCATATGTGCTAAATGCTACAGTACGTACGTCGTTGGATCTTATATTGATAACTAACAATACAAGCATGTTTTCTATGTGAAAGGCGGACTACTACTCAATCATCCTTGCATTCTCTGTACTGATCAAGATTACAGTTTCGCGAGGACTCACCTATAATTCTTTAGGTTCCTATCTGTGCACCAGTGATTAGAAGATGGAGCCTTTTATCACATCTTAAGCTCTAATTTAATGTTTAAACCAGCCTCAGATTTCTGTTTACCGTTTTTTTGTGGAGGTTACTATACAGGTGATACACTCATTTTCAAATACATATGCGCTTTTTAATAGTTTAGTTCTACAGCTCTATGAAAACCAAACATTTTAAATTGCTATTTTTTAGACTACAGTAAATCATATAATATTTTTTTTTCTGAAATCACATGAGACTAGATGCAAATGACCTTTTACCCAGTTAGTAGAAAGAGATTAAGTGTGAGTTTTTCAGTCGTCATATTGTCTCATCGGTCTTTCTTTCTCCCTGCCTATGATTCGATTGGTAGGTTGAGACGAATCACACCTTTGCTTAGACCACAAGTTGATCTGCTTATATGGGAAGTTTTTATTTCAAGTATGTAGGCTAACTTTGGAGCGGTAAAATGCCAGTTAAATTATTTAGCATTTTAGCGAAGGTATAGCATACAAAAGATCAATAAATATTTCAAAAGGTTCCTCTATATGCAAAATATGAAGGCATACCGGTAACTATTAAAAATGTAAATATCAATTTATTCGATTAGATTTCGTATTACCGGCTTGGTAATTGTTTATGTGGAATGGTTTCTTTATTTAATTAGCTGTTATAAAAAAAATCACATTTGGTGACCAATACGGTATTATAACAATACTGGAAATAAGCTACTGATTTTTTTTTTTTTAATATCAGGGCAAGTTAGGCCTAGCTGAAATTGTTAAATAACTACAAGCGTGAAATGAGTGTTATAACAAGACGTTAATCTGTTTAACTTTATTTAATCAATTCGAGCTGTTATATTTGCCTTACGTATGTTTCACAAGCTCGCTGTCACATATAATTTTACTTAAACATTACTTTTCCTCCAAACGGAATACCTGGGCTATACCTGAGCACGCGCCGACTCCGCAGTGTCACGGGGACGCGCCGCCTACGTGAACTGCCGTGCCCCGGATGTGATCGCGTTCGCGAGCTCCGTCTCTCAGAGACAGAAAGGAGGGGATGCCTCTGTCCGTGCAGGTCTTTAACTTTCAGGTAAACCGGTGCTTCCTACTTCTTTTCCCATAGAGGGGCCACTCGCGTTAGCGGGCGTCGGGCTGAGCGGCCAACATTTTTCAGTTCTGCCACGACTTAGTTGATGTTGTGGCTGGTAAAAGTTGAAATAATATCAGTAAGCATGACGGCCTCTGACTCCTGATAGATAATCAATGGGGGGACGCGTTCGGGCAGTGTTACGCTGCGTAAATTGCACTTACTCAGGATTATGTTTACGCATTCATACAGTGGCTCATTTTCATATTAATGTCAATGTGAATAATTCATTTTTCACATGCATTTAATAACCTGATATCTTCCACTGTAATTACTTCAAAGTTAAAACGAACTCTATTAAACTAAATTTTATTAAGCAAAATTAATATATATTTCTCCATTTACTTCCGTACGATGAACAGCTTTAACGTAACGTCGCAACGTTTATGTTGACGTACAACATAAAATGTGGGCAGTGAAGAAAAACCAACCTCACACACTTTCACACATTTATTTGACACTATTTGCATTAATGCTGAATTTCTATTCTCACATTTCCATGTTTGTTTTTTTTCTTGCAATGCTTTGGCAATAATATATATATACAGTCATAAACACCAATAGAGAGAGAGAGACATTGCCTTTTAACTATGACTTTATTTTACATATGAGTAATGTTTACAAGTATGTTGTAAAACTGCAAGTGAAAAAGGAGAGTGAGACTGAAAAATTACATGATATATATAAAAAAATAATAATTATAGGTTAAAAAATAAAAACTAATAAATAAATAAAGGCATAAATACTATGGTAAGAGGAGGATTGGGGGTAAAAGAGTATGACACTTGTATACAAGTTTAAGACCAAGCCCTCTTCTTGGTTTAAAACACATAAAGCTTTGTTCTTCCCCAGACTTTATAAAACATGTCTGTGTTGTGGGTCAGTTCATAAAAAGCAACCTCAATTTTTAAGCATGTGGCAACAAGCTTTTCTAAAATATCCTCAGGGTCCAGTGTTCCTTCCCCCTTCATTTTGTTTTTCCTTGTTGTCCAGATGCCGAGTTTTGCCTGACGCAGTATAAAATTAACTAAATTAACTAAAATTACAGAACGGACACTCCTTACCTCTGGTGGAGTCATGGCCACGGCCCCATGTACAATCCTCCACTGAAGATTCGCAGTACGCTTCTCCACAGAGGGCTTGTACAGGGACCTCCAGTGACCTTGTGGAGAAGAGCCCAACAGTCCTGACCACTTAGAGTCCTTCAGTCCTTTCAGTGACCCCACGTTCACTACCTTTACCACACTGTGACTTTTTTGGTTTTTGCAGATTTCTTAGGGAGAGCAGTTCTCCTTTCTCCTTCTTGTGGTCTTCTGTGTTTGGTGATATGTTAACAGAGGGAAAGAGATGTTCTGCCTCACCTGACCCGCTGTCTACTTCCAATGCATCCTTAAACTCTTCCGGTACCATCGTGAAGATCTTCTCCAGTATTCTGTTTAGGAAACGGCTGGACTTGATACTTGTGATTATTTTTAGGTCTCCCACTTTCCTTCATGATCCTCTGGCTCTCAGGGAGCTGATCTTCATAATTCCAGCACTTACAAACAATGAGCATACAGCTGGTGATTCTAGAGACTGCGTTTCTATTCTTGGATTAAAAAACAAAGGTTCAAGTTCAGCCCCTGTCAGGTTCTTGAAGTTCCTGTCCACCTTAAAAATTGAAGTCCAGGCATTTAAAACTGATTGATAAAACCGTGATGTTGTGGACAGATCCATGTTTTTTATCTTCAGCAGGAAAAGGTGTTTATCGTATCCCAGCTTTTCTATGCGCTGTAGTGATGCACTCGCTGGTCCCGTCCATATCATCTCGCCCTGGTAGAGGGGCCACTGTGCCGCCTGGATTCTGAAGCTTTTAATTCTGCTGGGAATGTCCATCAGCCCCTGCCCTCCTTGTTGCACTGGTAGATACAGCACAGGAGCTCTGGTCCACTGTTCCCCAGTCCAGAAAAAGTCCACTATTTTCTTTTGTATCTCCTTCACAAGAGATGTTGGGGGATCTAGTGCTGGGAACTTGTGCCATAACACGGACGCGATCAGGTTATTGGACACCAGAACTCTCCCCCTATAGGACAGCTGTGGCAGGGTCCTGGTCCATTTAGAGAACCTAGCACATACCTTCTCCACCATTCCCTCCCAGTCCATTTCCTCGTATCTGTCAGAACCTAGATAAACATCCAGATATTTAAAACCTTCTCTCATCCACTGTAGGCCTCCTGAAAGCTTTGGAGGACTGTTTCGTAACTATTGTCCCATTAAAAACCTTGAGATTTCTCCCAGTTCTCTTTCACTGATGATGCTCTTTCATAAATTTCTATTTTTTTTTTCAGAATGCTGATGTCTTCTTCCCCTCAAATGCATAATACAGCATCATCAGCATAAGCTGAGAGAGCTATCGGTTTTATTCCTTCTGATGACCACCCTGCATTTCAGTCCTCAGTTTGCACAGGAGGGGTTCTGTTGCCAGACTGTAGAGTTGCCCTGATATGGGGCATCCCTGTCTGATACCTCTGCCTATCATGACTGGGTAGCTGAGCCCACCTCCCACCTTCAGCATTATAGACACCTTGTTGTAAAGTAGCCTGGTCCATTGGATTACCTTTTCTCATAGCCCATATCCTTCTAATATTTTGAATAAATATGTGTGGTCCATTCTGTCAAAAGCTTTTTCTTGGTCAAGAGAAAGCAGTCCCATGTCCTGTTTATAACTTTTGGTTAAGTCAATAATGTCTCTAATTTAAATAAAAAAAACATTGCATTAATGTGTTCATGCATTTCTTAAGCCTATTGGATAACATTTTGACAGAATTTAATAGTTTATATAATATTTCTAGTCTGAATTCAGCTGCTCTGTTTGTTTCCAGCTTTGGTAGGTTTTTGGTTAATTCCCTGATGCAGGATAAGTCACATTCCATTGCTTTGTACAGCCCTCTATAAAAGTTCATGGCAAGTTTTCTCATTTCTTTCGGGTCTGTAATAATATGTCCTTTTTCATCCTTGAGATAGATCATTCGTGCGTTTGACCTCTTTTTTTTTCTAGGTTGAAAAAAAAGGAGCTTGGAGGCATCCCTGTCTTTAACTGTAGTGAATCTTGCTCTTGAGGGCACTTCTTGTGCGTTCCTTCAGAAAGTCATTCAGTGCCCCTTTCTTCCTTCTGCCTCTTTGATTGCTTTGCAATCTTCCCCGCTCACCATCGCCTTTTCCACATGAAGCAACTCGTCCTCAAGTCTCTGTACTGCTGATTTTGTAATTTAAGTTAAAGGCTGTGTATTGCTGCCAGAAAGTCTTTATATTGGTTTTACCCATTTTCCACCATTGCACCAAGTTACTGAAGTCATTTTTTTTTAGACCTCCAGAATTCCCAAAAATGAGGACAGGCCAATAAGACAGGAGTTTAAAACAGGGTTGCTGCACAGATTTTAACTTCAAAATTAAGACTTTTTAAGACCTTTCTAAGACCTCGAAAAGAAAAAAATAATACTATTTTCACGGCCAAAAAAAAAAAAACATAGCTCTTGCCATTTTAAATGTACTTCATATATACATGAACTGCACAACAATTTTAAAAGATCCACTTTTGTTGCCACCAAGTGATGCTGTGCACATTGTGAGGAGTGTGGTTTAACAGAGGCATATAAATTTAAACCCTAAAGCTCAAATAAATTATATTCCATGTCAAAAAATTACGTTTCTAATGTCAGACTTGGCAAACTTAGAGGCTGCTTAAACTGTGATCCATAGTAGCGCAATTCCACAAATGTTCCAATCTCAGTAGTGGTCCAGTGTTTCATATGAAGGTCTACCTGTTTTGATTTAATTGATTTGTTTAAACTTTCATCAGACATAGTTACAAAGCTGTCATCATTCTCAGCTGACCTCAGCTCACGTTGGACAAACAGTGCAATACCGAACCTAGATATATATGCGGTCTTATCCCTGCCGGAGGTGAATGACTTTACTATAGCTGAATCCGAGAACATCACCTGAAACACTGTGTGTATTTCACTATTGGATTTGTATGAATGATGTTGGCTCACCGTGTACAGAGAACAAAGCACTTTGGCCTTAAGTGTTGCTCTTTTTGAAAACCCAGAAAAGGATGCCGAACATGATACTTCCGAAGCTGTAACTTCGGCAGTGGTTTGGACTTCCAAAGTAGCATCCGGCAGACTAGGCCCACACTGAACGTAGTTCTGGATGGGTAGTGAAGTCTTCTTTTAGGACTCATAGTGTTTGTGTTTCTCTGACGCACGATGTGTCTCAACCTCTTGAATACCCATACTACCAAATTGCACCACGAGCATTTAAAACCATGTGGGTATGTAGAGCATTGCAGCCAACCTGCATATTTGTCATTGTCTGTCCGATTCTCATTAAATTTGCATTTCCCCATGTTGACAACGGATAGTACTGACGCGAAATACAATGCTAACGTCCACTAATTTCGCTGAACCCACAAAATGAAAATGAGCTTGCGCAGGCTATATACATATACTATATACACACCTTTACCAACCATAGATATCAAAATATCCTAGATCGGCGGAGCGCAGTATTTTGATATCTATGTGCTATGCAAGCCAGAACTCGCGCGGTTATCATGCCAATAATAAACAAGGCATGCAAGCTCGGAGGTCATAAGATTCAATAAACATTCATGATTTTATTAAAGATAAGACCATATGTGATGGGGTTTAATTTAAGACTACATGCCAGAAAAAATAATACTTTTTAAGACATTTTATGACCTTAAATTCGGCAATTCTAAAATAACTTTTTAAGGATCCGTCAGTTCAGTTAAATGATTCTTTCTGATTCCTTCACTGATATGTTCAGCTGCAGTTTGCTCAAATGTGCTGTTTAAAGCAAGGTTTCTCAACCCAGTCCTCGGGGACCACCAGACGGTCCACGTTTTTGCTCTCTCCCAATTGGCAGGGAATTGGGAGAGAGCAAAAACATGGACCGTCTGGTGGTCCCCGAGGACCGGGTTGAGAAACCCTGGTTTAAAGGACAAACAAAAAACAGCTTGAGCTATGTAAAAGCATCCCGCAGTTATACCCTGTATCCTTTTTTGTGTAAAATTATTTTATAATAAACTTGTATCTTTGTGTATGTTTGTGAATTATTATCACATCTGACCTAACACTCGCTACTGCTGTACACACTGAAATTCTGATTCACTGAGAACAGTGAAATGACTCGCTAAAGATTAAAGACTGAAAGATTGATTCACATACAGACCCAATGAAAGAATCTTCATTATAATCTTGATTTACAGACTCAAACATTGATCCACTAAGTAAAATGTGAATTGAATCATTTGATTCAAAATCTGATCCACTAAGTGAATAATGATCATGAGTAAATGACTCCCAATCATGCCTGAAAGGTCAAGTGATTGACAATGGCCTTCTTCTTCTGTAGAAGAATCTCACTGTGTGTGTATGTTGTCAAACACAGCTGTTGTGTCTTTTACTGAAGTTGAAGTGAAACACATGTTACAATGTGAACACGCTTGCTACATTCACAAAGCAGCAGCATAATCTATATATATATATATATATATATATACACGCACGCACACACACACACACAAAAAATTTATATTTTCTTTCTTATTGGACTTTTCATACATTATAATATCCTTGTGTCTTCTAGTATTTCAATTAAATATCATTTCTGTTATTGTTTGTTTTATTGTATGCCTTAGTTATAAAGTACTTTAATAATTTATTTTTATTAAAATGAATTATTGCTAGTAATGTGCTGCTATGTAAATCAGGGAAAATGTGATGAGAAGTATTATGGTTTATTATTATTATTATTAGCTGGACTCATGAGAAAAGAGCTGCTGCAGTTCCTCATCTTGTCACTAGAGGGCCCTGTGTCTGCAGGAAAAATTAGGCTTTAATTGTTAGAACAATGTAC